TGATCTTTTGGTTACAATAGCCTCTGAATGTATAAGTTCATAGACTTTGAATTAAGAATTATAATTAGGTAGAGAATTTATGGAAGGATGTAGATAATTGATGTAAGCTTCTTAATGTAAATTATATTTTGAAAGTCGAATTTAATGTGTAATTGATATTAACACATATCTTTATTAGAGACATGTGTTTATGTTACATTTATAAGGTATACCAATTGAATACAATCAAATTTACAATTATATAATTGTTCTTTATTTATTAGGTCATTCTGAATTTAGTAGTCCTTAATATTTATTACCATATTCAGAAAGAGCTACATATACTTTAACTACTGGAGTTAGAAATAATTTTTTTGAGTATTTGTTAGGAATTTTGGATTACAATGATAAAGATAGTAGATTAAGTAAAATCAATTAATTAAGTGAAAGAAGTAAAGAATATAAATAATTAATTGATTTATTACAAGGTTTTAATTCAGCAGTTTAACATATATCTTCTGATATTGAAATGAGTATGTCAATACAAAAATAATTGAATTAATTTATAAGTGTAATGGAATATGTTGATAATTAAAAATGTAAATATTTGATAATGGAATCATGTGTTCATCATTTAGCAATATAATATGATGAAAGTACTGTTGTTTTATCTAATGATTATAATGATAGATTGGAAATGATTAATAATAGTATAAGAGCATTATAAAGTCAGTATTTTTGGAAATGTAAAATCATTCATAGTTTATCTTTATTGAATAATATAAATATCATAAGATTTGTGCCTGAAAATTGTATTAATGCTTATCGTGATTTATGTATAAATGATCATGTTACATTAAATTAATTGGGAAGAGCAGGTTTATTTTACTTTCTAAGATTAGCTAAATAAATGATTTATAAAAAACAATAAATTAATAGTTCATAATTTGAATAACATCTTCCATTTAATAAATTTGTTCAATATAGATATTTAACATAAGAATAATTATCAATTATTGATTAATCATATTAATCTATTTTAGAATTAGATGACATACTAAAAGCATAATAACCAATATATAGATCTAAAATGCATGAGAAATATATGTTTACTAAAAATGATATAACTAAAGTTACTATTATTAATGACAATATAACTCCTTTCATAAAAGATTTAAGATAATTATTTACAGATAAATAATATATGCGAGAATTTATGGAAAAGATATTAATAGATAAAGATGTAGCTCCAACATCAGAATTTGATATTACAGATGCTCCATCATAAGAAGTTTAATTTATGTCTGCATAAGGAATCACAAGATATGTCTAAATATTTTTCACATATATTTATGGAAAGAATAGAAATAGATAATCTCCATTTTCTGCAACATAATCATTTTTTATGTCTGATTTCTATTTTAGATTATTTAAGAAAATGTTTTAAGTTTGTGGTATTGCTGCATTTTATTCAACCAAAGAAATAATTGATGAATATATTGAATAATTTGATTAAAGAGAAAAGTAAAGATTAGTAAGTTGTTATTTAACTGCTCTTCATAGATCATTATTAAATGTTGGTTCATATATTTAAGATTCATTTATTAGAATTCTTCCTAATATTACATAAGAAATATTCTATGATTATCATTTAGCATTCTTTTATATGTGTAGAGATTAAGATTGGTAATGGATATCTCCAGTTTATTAAAAAATGTTATAATGTTGTAAGAATCTTATTCCTTAAGGAGGATTCAAAGGTTTAAGATATATTTAATTATTGAAAATTCTTATTTAATCATAAGGTCCTAGAATTATTACATTATAAGATCAAATTCTTTAATAATTTGCTACAATAATAGTAACATATCCATCTAGTGTTTATGTTGAAGAATATACTTGTACACTTGCAACAGCATTATTATAAACTATTTTAATACCTATTCCTATTGATGCTCCATATGCAGATGATCATTTGATTGCAACAACTGCTAACTTTTAAATTTGGTATAATAGTGATCTTTAAAATTTTTTCTAAAATTTTAATGAATTTCTCTCTAATAATACTTAAACAGATAAAATAAAGTTTTATTAAGAATTATCAGCAAGAATTTTAGAATTTATTGCAATTAGTAAATTTGATAATTATTCATGGAAATTTATTGTTGAAGCTATGAAAATCATATTCTAAAATAATTAAACTGATATAGATGCTTAAGAAATTCTAAGAAAATATATTGAATGTGATTATGATGAAATTACTCAATTACTTGATATAGCAGAATAAATGACTAAAAATGATACTTGGAATATTAGAAAACGTGCCAATTTCTTTTTAAGAGATTGGTATTTCAAAGCAAGATTAGAAGGAAGTACATTAGATCAAATACCAAAATAATTACTCAATATGTTTTAAGACAATAATCTTTAATTGTAATTCTAAGCTGTTTCTTCACTTGCTGATTATTTAAAATTGTACACTAAATAAGAATTAGAATAATTATTCAAAACAACATAAGAAAATAGAGTTTATATATTAATGAGTATGTTACTTTCACGTCAAGATAGAAATTTTAATTGGACAGATTAAGCTTTATCTGAAATATTTTAAGAATTGAAAAACAAAAGGTATTTAATTATTTTATTTTTAGAATATTGTAAGAATTTGTTTCTGAATATTGGAAGAGTAGACAAGATTGGTAGAGAGTATTTAAAGATGAAATAAGTGAAGAAAATGTGAGAAAATTATAAGAAATTGTAAATCCACATCCATATTATGCATGATTGTTTATTAATATAAAATATGTAATTAATGGTAATATCATTGTATAAATATTAAAAATATAATATTATATATTTTACTTATTTATTATTCTAAATAGCTATTTTTTAACAATCAAAATTAATTCTACTTTTTGTTTCAAATTAATAATTAAAAAAATTAATATTATCAAATTAACTTAATATATATATATATCTATTTTAAAGTTATATATAGATCTTGATATATATTAAAATATATTAATTTACTTAAAAAAATATGGATTTGATTAATTTATATATATATATTTAATTAAAAATCTAAATCATAAGTTAATGATGATCATATATTTCATAAAGATTTCATTAATTATACCAGAAAACCATGAGGAGCAAATATTCTTCCAGTGCAATCTGCTGATGTGCTGAGAATAAAGGGATAGAATGGATGCCATTTACATAATACTACTCGATCTTCATGATCTGTAATTTAAGTTATCAATTTCTGTTATTCCCAATCATAAAGAGCAATAGTTGAATCAAATGATGCACTACATATGTATCTACCAGTTGGATCAAATTCAACACATCTACAATCCATTGTATGATGTTTCAATGTTTTTATACATTTCTAATGTTATATATTCCAAACTGAAACTACACCATCAGAATGTGCAAGTACTGCTAATCCTTATGATGAGAATTATGGAGCCTTTTTAGAACCTTTGACTAAATTTTATAGATTGTAATTTGTAGTTGATTCTGATAGGGAAACATAATTAATTTCTGTTTACATGGTCATAACTCCTTAGGCTCTACTAGTTCTTTAATCCCATATTCTTAAAGTTCGATCCATACCACAAGAAACCTAATATGAACCATCTCCTGCAGTCTATAAACTATTTCACTTTATATGTAATTTGGTTACCAATATATTGTTTATGTATGTCCTTCTAAATTTCTTATACATTTTTATGTTTCTACATCCCAAATTTTAATAACAGCATCTTATCCAGCTGACATTAATCTATTTTCATCACTAAAACAAACTGATCTTACTAAACCTCTATGACCAATTAAAACTTAATCTGTATCTTCTTCAACATTGTACAATTTCACTGTTTTATCATTACTTCCAGTTCCTATCAATCTTCCTGATCTACTCCAATCAATACAATATATAGATCCTTAATGATGATTTTACTTTTCCAATTACATTACAACTTAACTTTCTTATAAAACTGATTTCATTGAAAAGATTCTAAGACTCTTAGAATTAGTTCCAATAGCAAACATTTCACCATCAGATGAAAATGCAGCTGCTCTAATTGGATGTGTATCTGATAATGTAGCAACTTAATCCATCTCATCAAATTTATAATTAAAAAGCTAAGACTATATACTACTATTGCTATGAGGTGGAGTAGCATTTAAAATACTTTCCTTTTTTATCATTGATTAATCATTTTCATTAATATCAGAGATATGTAATTTTTCTATGATAATATTTTTATCAAAATCATTAGGTAATTAAGAAGAACTAGACTATTAAATTTGAAATTAGGACTTCCTTTTTGAGTAAACTAATATTCTATAAATATTATTATTACATTTTGACTGTTTATTATTATCTTCATCATCATCAACTTTTTCATATAATTATTGAAGTGTATTACCATTATATTTTTCTATTCTAAAAGTTTTACCTAAATTTTTAAGTATTGATGCAATCCCTTCAAAACAATCAAATCTTCCCTATCATTTAAAAACTCTAATCATTTACCTTTTCAACACTCCAATCACTAAATTCTGGATGATCACGAATACATGATAATGTCAAAAAATAACAAAGATTTTTATATACTTCAGGAGATGCCAATTATTCAATTTATCGCAATAATGTTATTAGTATTTCTACATCTGGTTTTGCATTTATCAATTCAAAATATTATTGTTTCTTCAACTCTAATAACACATATGAAAATTGATCATTCAGTCTTGTCTTCAAAGGTTATAGATATTATTCTGCTCCTATGAAATTACCATCTAAAATTTGTTATCTAAGAAATTATAATTCTCTAGTGTAGGTGTCTATCGAAATCTATAATTAAACTTATTATTTTATTTTTACTTATGTTTCTAATTCTAAATGTAATAGACTCTTAAATAACTTTTGATCTCTTAAAAATACCATGATCATCTATAATATTTGTTATGTTTATGGCATTTTTTGAGTTTAAATTAATTATAAGTTTTGGTTTATGGAAAATAATCAAATTATGTTCATGAACCAAGACGATTAAGTCTAAATATTTAGTGATGAAGACGATTAAATATCCCAAATAATTGAATAAGATTCAACTGGTAGATTTTGTAAGGTAAATGATGAAATGTATTTTTAGTATAATGAATAAATTGGTTAAGGAGCATATAAAAGTGTATTTAGAGGATATGATAATTAGAGTGGTTGTGAAGTTGCTTGGAATGTATTTTAATTAAATAGTGTTCCAGAAAGTAAGAATTTACAATAGTTAAGATGAAAGAAGAAGAGTAAGATAAGAGATTTCAATTCTAAGCAGTCTTAAACATGATAATATTATTAAATTCATACATTCATGGCATAATAAATCAAAAAAAGAAATTGTTTTCATAACAGAAATAATAAATGGAGGTTCTTTGAAAAAGTAAAATCATAGCTATGTTTAGTTATTTACGTAGAATCACTAGGCCAAAATTAAAGGTTATAAAGAATTGGTGTAGATAAATATTATTTGGTTTAGAATATTTACACAGACAAAATATAATTCATAGAGATTTGAAATGCGAAAATCTTTTAATTGATACAAATAATAATGAATTAAAAATTGGTGATTTAGGTCTCTCAATTTAGTAATAAATCTATATTTTAATTTAGATTGTAATAATCTTTTACAACTTCAGTTTTGGGTACTCCTGAATTTATGGCACCAGAAATATATTAGGAACATTATGACACTAAAGTGGATATCTATGCCTTTGGTATGTGCCTATTAGAAATGGTTACAGGAGTAAAACCATTTTGTGAGTGTAAAGGTGGTACAGGTTAAGTGATAAAGAAAGTAATTGAATAGCAAAAGCCTCAATCAATTGATGCTATTTAGAATGATAAAATCAAAGCAATTATCTTAGAGTATTTTGATTTCTTTGCAAAACAGATGTTTAAAACCTCCAGAAGAAAGACCTTCTGCTACTTAATTGTTATAAACTCACTTTAATCTTCAAGTTACCGATAATGACAACCTTCCTGTTCCAATTAATGAGTAACTCCTTTTCTAATTAAGGGATGATAGCAAAAGTAATAAAATTAATAATAATAAAAAAGATTCATCTATTTTAAAATGTAATTTATCTAACAAAATAATGTTGACCATAGGTAGTAGTAAATTTGAAACTAATTCAGAAATTAGTATTCATAAACAAACCTAATAATAAGGTTTGGTAAAGAAAAATTTAATAATTGAAACAGAAGATGAAACTGAACAAATATTTAATAAATATTACAAAGATTATATTGTAATTTATTTTTATTATATATTTTAGTGTTTAAAAAATGATGAATCTTTGTAAGATCTTGAATAGAGATAAGAAAAAGAATTATAAATGTTAAAATAATTACATTTATAATAAAAACAAGAATATTTGAAAAAGACTTCAAATAATTTCAACGTTAAAAGTTCATCTCAACCATTTTAAAGTTCTGGATTTCTGTCTCTTGGATCTTATTAAAATTTTTTTGAACTTTAGTAAGATTCAATTTGTCCAAAATAAATAATTGAAAGCCCATGTTTAGAAAGAAATAGCAATAATAGATTATTGAAGCTTGAAATGGTATATATATTTATATATAATTTAATTTAGATTACAGATAATATCTCTTAATAATAATCATTTAATTAGTCATAACAAGTTGGTATTTAGAATAAAATTATTGTAGATATATAATTAGAAGTCAATAATTGACAATCTAATAAAAACAACCAAAAATATAAAATAAATTAATTCAAATATCTTTCTTGTCTAAACCATAACTCTAATTTTTTATTTTACATCTCATATACTAATTGTAAAATTAACATATATTAAAATGAAAGAAGAAAATCATTATGATTGGCCTGACCCTACAAGAAATGACCTCATGTACTTATCAACAATCAGTATCATCTCAACTTTAATATCAAGGAAATTAGAATAAATTACGATCCATCTCTTAGGACTATAAATATACAACTAACTTACCAAAAAAAACATATTATAACAAAGAAACCTTTATTAATAAAGTTGATGACATTCCCATCAAAAATAACAAATTTGAAACTGTAAGAGAAAGTCTCTATATTGATGATATTGCTGTAAATAATTAAATTCAAATTTAGGGAACTAGACCCTAGATTGCTAAGTTTAAAACCACTAGAGAAACAAACCCAGTTGAACCTATATACAGAATTCCTTCATATTAAGGAGCTGATATTCCTTAGCCTAATAAATTTATTAGAGACACATTAAACATATCAGATATTCAAGGTACTGTCCCAAAAATTAAGATCTATAATCCAAGAAATGTAGATCCTTACACTTTTATTGAAGGCTCTAAACCTAAATAATTAAGACATCTTATTCACCCTTAGGAAGAATAAGACTTGAAGAGAACTTCAATTAGATAAGTTAATCCTCTATAACCTTTTTATAAATGGGGAGAGGAGATTATAGGTCCTGTAGAGGGATCACAACCTTATAATCATTGCAAAGACAGAAATAAATTAAAAAGTCTTTCCTTATATACTAAGGACATAACCGGAGCTTAATCAGACACTGTAAAGAAAATCCCGAAAGAATCTTAGAAGATAACAAATAATACCTAAGATATTTATAGAGCATAAGCTAATACTATATAAAGAGGAATGTAAACAAAGAGGCAAACTAATCCGTTGCAACCAGCTTACTAATTATTAGGCTAAAGTGAACTATATAATCTGCAATTCAAATGAATATTTATAATTGGATGAAATTTAATAATGATTTTTGATATATAGATATATATATCTATTTATGATCATCTTTATAATTGACCCATTAAATTTGCTTGAGATGGGTAAGATGACATAGGCAAAGGATAGGGATAGTTATTAAGACTTTGAAAATTACCCAACATATTTTAATTTATAATGGATCTTTATTAATAAACTCCACTCTAAATTTGTGGATATTCATTTGATTACATCATAACATAAGATCGGAGTAGTTTAGGATCATAATAATAGGAACCTATACTATTTTGATTAGATAGGTTATTTTCTTAAAATGTACTTTATTAACTAATTTCTGATCTATTTAAATAAATATGCAATTATTCAGGCGATACAAAAAATATTTAATTTTTTTCTTTGTTTATTAAACATGGTTATAGAGTGCTCATTTCAACTTCTGTAAGTTAACACTCTTTTACTTACAAATTGATTTTATCTTTATTATTAGAATTTGATTGCGAATGTCTTAAATCCCTTTTTAAAGGCAAATTAGATTCTACTTTAATTTTTTTAATAATATCTAAATGTTCTTCCTTAACAATATCTTTCTGCTCATTTTCTCGGAGGTTTTCGCTTTATTGGATTCTCCACTCTATTTTTTTTATTATAGTATGTATTAGTTTGATTTCATCATGATTCAACTCTTCTGCGGATGGAAAATTAGAGATCTTAGATTCTTCTGATTCGCTTTCTTCTTCATCTTTTTTCCTTCTATAATAAATATAGCCTACCCTGCTTTTTGACTTCTTTCTTTTCTTAAGAGACAATTGAATCTATTTTTGACACTATTCTCACTTCTAGGTATTTTTAGTTTTTTTGAAATCAATGCCCATTTCTTTCCATTTTAGATTGATAACTATAACAAATCTAAATCTTCATTCAATTACCAAGGATTTCTTTGTATTTATTAAATTAATAGTTATACCTATTGATGAAAGGATTAAGATGATTGTTCCATCTTTCTCTACACTATTTACCATTTCTATGTATATTCGATTCACTTATTTTATTTAAAGTGGTAGCAATCTAACTCCATTTATTTCCTTTGTTTAAATTTTAGTAGTCATATATTATGGACCTTAATAGGTCATCTTCAGGTAAAGTCCATGGAGCTTATTACAATGGAAGCTTAAGCATTTGTAACCACTTTTATTTGCATTTAAAGGCATCTCTTCTAGGCATCATACTGGCTATGGAATTCCAGTCATCATCGCTCTTAATATAGAGTTGAATTGTTATACAATAGATTTTATGTCTCTTCTATTGAAAGCAGTCCATTTACCAACTAACCATATGAGCACTTTTTTGTCATCATCTGTCCAGTTCTTTTTTAGTTTATTTTACTAAGATTGTAAATTTAACTTGTTATTTTGTTGAATGGTATAAACCTCTTAATTGTCAGGAAAAGTATCCACACCTAGGTTATATAATTCTCTCATATAATTAAATCTAACATTAGTAATGTCCTTGGTTTTAGCATAGAAGTTGAGAAAGTTTTAATGAAAATCTTCAATAAGCAGGTTTTCAGATGATTGCATATATTTTTTTATATTTAAGTTTCCTTATTAATTTAAAAGAAATCTAGGTTTCCTAATAAAATAAATTAATTAAATGAATTTAACTACGAGATTTGTGGACTCTTTCAGTCTCACAGATGATCTGCTTACTTAAATTATATAAGATAAGTAGACAATCAGTTTATCATTGAGACAACTGAGTAAATTACATCATTTGTAAAAGATGTTAGAAGAGTTTTAATTTCTCAATATTGTATACAGTGATTAAAGTAGAGTGAGGTATTTTAAAATTCTTATTTTAGGAAGATGATGTTAACAAGAACAAAATCTAATCTAAATTTACAATAATAGTTGTGTCATTAAATAGATAAGAAAATTGAAGATTTCATGGTATATATATTGTAAAATTTCTTAGAAATTATTTAAGAAACTAGACTCCATCCTATTTTACACTATGAATATGCAACTCATGTCTGAGAACTGTTTAGAATTCTTATAGCAAATTGCAGATTTAATTTTGGGCAGTCCTTCATTTACAGTTATATATGAGATTAACAAGAAAGTCAATGGAATGTCAACTCATATAAAAGATATTGAGAATGCCTATTAGAAATTATTAAAATTCAAAGAGAGCACAAATGTATAAGGAAGTGAACTTGATAATCTCTTTGGTACAAATGAATTATATGTGTACAAAAACAAGTATTCATACTTGATTTACGATGTGAAGGATGTACCATTTAAAGCATTCCCAGATTATAGATTGATATTAGATCAATTTATTTCACTTGCTTATGATTTTCAAAAAGAAATATATGAGTGAGATTTATATCTATAACATATCTAGCAAAGAAAATTTAGTGAGCATAATAAGAGGAATTAAATCAAGGTTCATTAAGAATTCAACCAGGATTTGTTAAGAAATTATTCGATAATAAGTTACTGATGTATTATCAAGTTAATGGTATGATTGTTCTAATTATCATATAGTTGGATTGAAATGCCTGACTAAATATAATATATGAATGATTTGATCATAGATTAACATGGTTATGTTGTATTGCCAGTTAAATTAGATAAAAAAATCAAATATTACATTAAGATTGAATCTCCAAATATAGATATGATTACTTTCAGTGATTATGTAAGATTATCTAAAAGGAATTCTAGATTCAACAATTATGGTAGAGACTGACATACTAATTGAAGGATTTGAAGAATGAAGAGTTTTTAAAATAAATGCTTGAAGTGAATTCTCCAAATAAATTATATATTCAATTAGATGGAGATGGAAACATAAGATATTAAAGTTGCTGTATACCAGATTCTTGGTATTTCATGTTAATCAAAGGAGGATCATTGGAAGATTTGTAGTTGGAATAAGTGAATAAATAGAGTCTTATATAAAAAATGTAGGAATTAAAGTCTTCAGCGAAAGGAGCTGTAAGTGTTTGTTAGATTTGTTTTGGTGATAAAGCAGTAGATGTTGATCTATTTGCCAAAAGAAATGAAGAAGATGAGATTACTGACTATTATATAGTTTTTAATGCTCCTAAAAAGTATGTAATTTATTCAATAGAATATAGGAAATTTGAAGATGATCATCGTATATCTTCATAAATGTCTAGTGAAAGTAAATTGTAAGAATTGAGCAAGGCAGCTTTAATCAATATTAAAATGGAAAAGTTATCTAAAGCCTGCAATGTGATGAGGGAGTATCTTAAAGTTAATTTAAATGATGAGGAAATCATTGATTTATTGAAGGAAAAGGATATTCTGAAAGAAGTTTATAATTAATAATCGATCACAGATGACATTAGATCATCTTATGTGATGGAATATTATAAAGCTGAGTCATCAAATGTAATGAAAGATCCAGTCTAGGGAAGTCAACAATATATAATTGAATCAGAACTCACAAACATTAAAAGTATTTACTTTCTATTTAAATTAGAATTTGATCTTTATACTTTAGATGCTAATGATATTTCAAATTTAAGTGATTATTCATTTGATATAACTGTTGTTCAAGATAAAAATGAATAATTACGATATACATGGGCACTATTTCATTTATGTAATTTCATTGATTTATATCAAATCAATAAAGAAGTATTTTATTAATTTACTGTTATTGTATAAGAGAAATATAGTTATCGATAGAATCCATTTCATAACTTTGATCATGGATTTACTGTTGCTCATGCATGTTATTATATTATAAAAAGCAAAAGCATGAATCAATATTTTGATAAATTCATTTAATTTACTGCTTTATTATCAGCATTATGTCACGATATTGATCATACTGGACGTAACAATCATTTTGAGAGCTAAAAATTATCTAAATTAGCATTAAGATATAATGATGAATCTGTATTAGAAAATCATCATGCTTCAGTTATGTTCAAGATTCTTTAAAAAGAAAAATATAATATTTTGAGTTCTCTTAGTTAGGATCAATTTCTTATTTTTAGAAAATATGCTATTGCTAATATATTGGGTACAGATATGAAAAAACATTTTGAAATTGTTAAACTATTAGAACTTAAATTATCCAAACTTCCAGATGAACCATTTATATAAAAGGAAGAAGATAAAAAGTTCTTATCCAGTGCTATTATACATACTTGTGATTTGACTATGTAATCTAAAACATTCAAAATGGCATAGAAATGGTCAAATCGTATAGCAACTGAATTTTCAGATTAGGTTGCTGAAGAGAAATAATTATCATTACCTATTACTCAACATTTCTTACCATTAGGAACTCCAAATTTCAATCAATTATTAGCCAAACAAGAAATTTCATTTATCAAGGTAAATTTAATTAAAATATTAATAAGTTTATTGTAAAACCAGCTTATGATTTAACAGCGTAAGTATTATAAACAGGATTAGAAGTTCCATTAAAAAATTTAGAAGACAATCTTAAAGAATGGGAAAATTAGAAATGATAAAAAATTTATCAGTTGTTGTAGTAACGATAATATTTTGTATCCTTATAATAATATTAATTAATATTTAAATGCAAGGCTTAATAGCATAAAATGGTTCAGATGAAGAGACAGAATTTATATTTGATCCTCATACTATCCAACTCAAGGAAACAAGAAGTAAAATTTCTAAAGCAAATGTATATCTTTGATTATTAAAAATTCTATAGGAAGAGATTAAATAATTAAATGAGTAAAATAAAGAATTGATCATGTAATTAAATCGTTAAAATGAGCTTCTTGAATTGAAACATAAATAAAATTAATAATTATAAGCTGAAGGTAAATATGATTGTTTAAATGTTTAGCAAATAAATTTAAAGAATAAATCGATGATAGAGAGCATAAATTATTATAGTCGATGAAAGAAAAACAACAATTATAAAATGAATTAATTGCAATGCATGAAATTTTAGATCAAACAACTTAAAGAAATGATTAAATAAAT